AGTATATTAGAAAAGGAAGTTTATTATTTTTTAAATTAAGAGAAAAAATAAGTCAAAAAAAGATTTTCTGTTTATATAATTATAACTACATTAAATTTACTAATTTATAACTGATTTCTTAACATTACGTACAAGAAAATTTTAGAATTTTTAATTATATAGTTTATACTAACAACAAATTCTACTGAATACTTCATTCCTCTCAATTAACATATTTTACAAGCAGGTCACTGATTGCCAATTACCAGTTTTTTTCCCCTGTAATATTTTATAACTTTTGAAAACTAAACCTATTCTTGCAGGAACATATTAGTTATTAAATTCTTTCTTGTGCAAAAAAAATACTTTTTATTTGAAAAGAGGCTTTGCTGTTCTTTGCTTCTGCAAAGAAAGGTTTTCTGCAGAAATATTGTTGAAATAAAAGATGGCTTACTAACTGCAATAGGTCCACGAAATGCCAAAAAATGTGCCATCAAATTGTGGTCACCTTTTGGGAATACAAATAACTGCTTTAGTCGAACATCAGACTTTACTGGACAAGGTCCATTTGGGTCATACAACTGAAGCAGTTTGTATCCTTTCAGATATCCTCGACTAAAAATTTATGCATACAATACCACCAAAAAAATAAATTTTTTTTTTTTGTTTTTTGTATTGTAAAATGTTGTGTAGCAGTAAGTTTTTTATGGTCTAATTTCAGCAGTACAAAAGTCTTATTCAACTATTTGTAGACATTTAATTAACATATTCTTTTTACAATAAACTAATACAGCAAATTAGCTAAAAAAAATGTTTTTTTTCTACTAACATAAATGCTCGTTTAGTGCTACCACTTTGACATCCGCTATTCGTCTGATCACAGTTAATCAATTCATCGTCAGATAACTGAATATTTTGATTTAGCTCAGTGCTAAGCATAATTTCTGCTGCTGCTATAACAGTATGCGCCCAACATGAGTTACACGGAAATCCTCTCTCAGTTACTGAAATTTACTTAAGTCTAATATTGAATAAATAGATAAATTTTATATTTTATTTATATTATTAGTACTCATTTTTTTGAGAACAAAATGTCAAACTATAATCCGTAATGTAGCAGAAAAACTTCAATTACAACTGTTTATACTAATAATGAAAAATAAGCATAAAAAAAGCAAAAATACACTTAATTTGCCAATGATTAATGACAGTTATATTTTAAGAAGAAAAGTACAATTGAGTAGGCATATTTTACACTCTTAAAATTGCAATAAAACTTACACTGATTTCTGATACGTACAATACGAATACTATTTTCCCAAAGGAAAAATTTGGGTAAAGGATTTTTGTACAGTGGAGTATATCTTTTGGAATAACCCACTTTGGTAAACCGATGTTTGACATCTTCTTCGACATCTAATGAATCATAGACCTGAAAAAAGATTAATAACAATTACGTTTGAGAAGCAATATTTTTTAACACTCTGTTCAATAGGTGTTTATTTATTGTTCTATAACAAATTCTAAATAAACCTACGTGAATTATAGTTTGTTCTTAAGTAAGAGCTGTCAAAAACTATGCAAGTTTAGAACTGTTAGTTGCTAAATTCCGATTCAAAGAATTCAATCAGTTTCGGAAACAGTAATTTTGCAAAAATTTTTTATATGGTGTTCTCTACTTCTATGCAAAGAATTTTTTTACAATTCTTGTACTTATTTTTTGCTATAATATACTTCTAAAATCTATAAAATTTTTTTATTAATTTTTAGTTTTATTGATGCTGCATTTCTTTGTCTTTTCATGATTATTGCCGAGCACAAAAATAATAATTGAGTTATGGTTATCTTATTAAAAAAACTCACAAATATTATGTTAAACTAAAAATTTAACTTGATTGTGTGGTGATAACATAAGACTGTTATAAATTTGCATATGTTAATCAAAAAAACTTTTATTTTGCATTTTTCTTAGTGAAAGTTACGGTAACTGTTTTCATAATTTTCTAAACGTGTGCAAATAAATCTAATGTTTTTGAAACTCTTTTTTATGTACTACTTGGCTGTCATTTGAGAAGAAATAAAGTGTAGACTGAAGTCAAAGTTTGGAACAGACTACAGTGGAAATACGAACAGAAAATGTAAACTGAAAATTTTCTCAAAATAAAATTTAATATTTTGGCATTTACAGTTCTAAATGCATGTAAAATGATTGAAAATTTGAAATGATATTATTATATTTAAATTGTGAAAACTAAAGTTTTATTTTTTAATAAATTTCTCAAGTTTTTATTCAGCTGTAGTTGAATAACTGTTATTTACTTACCTCTGCTGCTTTGCTTTTGTACTGCTGAGCAGCATATAAAGTATCAAAGTTGCTTATGTTCAATAGTTTATTGTAAGATTTTTTTGTTTCTATGTCATTCACAGGTCTTCTGAACATTACATAGTTTTTGAAGTCTTCTTTTTCAGATGTATACAACGTTGATTTTCTGCAAAAATAAAACTGACTGCTCAGAGGCAGTTTTAATGGGGTGTGTTCTCAGTAAACAAGTTATGCACTAATCATTAAAGGTTATTTTCGTTAGTGAAGTAAAACTTGAAAAAAAAAAAAAAAAAAAAA